ATTCCCTCTGGGAGCGGCCATTCACCATCCACCTGTGGCCTTACTCCCAAGTCGACCCCCGTTCTTTAGCCGTTCCCTTCGTCTGGCAACTCTCTGCATGCGCACACTGGGAACAGGCTCCAGCTGTTCTTCTGCCTCACTGATGTCTGACTCTGAAGGCAGCTGATAACTGGCATAGGGCCCTGTTCCTCTCTCTGCTTCCAACGCAGAGCCTTCCCCAGACTCCAGGACTGGCCCATGTTCCTCCCCAACCTCCTCACTCTCTGAATCTGCTGCCAGCTCTATGCCCGCTGACGGGCCACAACAATTGCTGAGTTTTCTTTATGAATTCAGGCTGTCACTTTAGTATCCCTTCCCCTTTTTCCTCGCCTAATGAAACCTCGTAAGGGAGATGTAGCGTAAGAGGAAGCAACCGGCTTGAAGCCATCCTGGATTAGGGTGCACTTGAACTCCTATCTCCATAGCCTACGTCCATTACCTATCCCAACAGCACAACCCTAGCTGGTTGCATTGATGTTTCTCAACCTGGTTGGGATTTCCTTGTGGTCTTCCATCCGAGTCCTAACCCGGTGCAACTTGGCTTCCCTTCTTTTGAGATCAGTTAAAGTCTGATTAACTCCAGGCGAAGAACAGCCGTTTCTGTCTCTAAGGGAGGGGAAGGTGAGGGTTCTGGCGCCAGGAGAAGCTGCTCCCAAGCGTAACGTGGACGGGTGGAAGCCCCCAAAAGCTGGTTCGATACTCACTAAATCCTCCCTTTGCCAAAGGTTCGAAATGTGGAAGATTGAAATAGAGCAAGGGAACTTCGCCAAACTCCGCAAGCAGCTCAAAGTGGACGAGGCAGAGCTGGATCAGCAGCGGCAAGACCAGGCTGAGGAGAGGCTCCAGAAACAGAACGACTTGGCCCAGCTCTTGAGCCAAAAATGGCAGAGCAACGAAAGGTAGGCTGGCTTTCAACCCCCTCCGAAGGAAGCCTCGGAATTCCCACTACAGCTCATGTTAAAGGCACCGGGAAAATCAGGAGGTCCAGCCAGTTCCAATGGATATTATAAAGATTTTGTCAGCGGTCCGACCAATCCCCTAATAAAATTAGCCATTTAAGCAAGAAAAACCCAGTTGTTTACTAGGCGTGTGTCGTCAGTCACATTCCCCAATTAAGCCATTTCGCGGGTCGTAGAAGTCACTCCCTCCGGCCGTTGCGGGTCTCCGTGGAGATGGCCTTGGCGTCAGCCAGCTAGGCTGCGTCTTGTTTTGACTGAGGCGTGAATTCCTTGGTTTCCCACCCCTCCTGCCTAGGGCAACTTGGGAGCAGGTCAGGAAAGCTTCGCGGGTTTTGACAGATGTATTGTCAGCTTCAGCTCTCTACAAGAACCTGAACTACTAACAGCCAAGAGAAAGTAGTGGGAGATAAGAATAAGAAGGAAAACAGCTCCTACCCCAGGGCAGTAACCCTATTGAATTCTACTGTATATATGCAATATGAATGCAACACCAGGGGTTTTCGATTCAATTGCATAGAATGTGAAGGATGCATGTTTTGTGTTTTTATTTTTATAGTTATAATGTACGCTGAAGATGGCATTTAATTTCGTTGTAGCAGTGCAATGACAATAAACTAAATTAAAACTAAGCTAACACTAAGCTAGAGCTAAACTAAAACTAAATTTTAAACTAAACTAAACTAAAACTAAGCTAAAGCTAAGCTAAAGCTAAGCTAAAACAAAACTAAAACTAAAACTAAAACTAAAA